TAATTCAAGCCATTTTTTTTAAAAATGACCAGCCCCTTATTATTAGAGAATAACTAAGACTAAAATACGAAGGCTAATTGAAAATAAGTTTCGGCATTATACAGGATGAGGACGAAAAATTTGAAACTTAACGTCTGTACCAGGTTTTTTGTTTCTATCGTACTACCATCAATGCAAAATGCTATTGCTGATTAAAAATTCAGAACATTGTGTTTGGTATTTCTTTGTTAATATTTCTATGTAACTTGCCAATACTATTTTTGTGTGTGTTGGTGTATGTATATATATATATATATATATATATATATATATATATATATATATATATATATATATATATATATATATATATAGGCATATATATAGGCATATATATATATATATAGGAATATATAGAAAGGCATATATATATAAATAAATAAATAAATAAATAAATAAATAAATAAATAAATAAATAAATAAATAAATAAATAAATAAATAAATAAATAAATAAATAAATAAATAAATAAATAAATAAATAAATAAATAAATAAATAAATAAATAAATAAATAAATAAATAAATAAATAAATAAATAAATAAATAAATAAATAAATAAATAAATAAATAAATAAATAAATAAATAAATAAATAAATAAATAAATAAATAAATAAATAAATAAATAAATAAATAAATAAATAAATAAATAAATAAATAAATAAATAAATAAATAAATAAATAAATAAATAAATAAATAAATAAATAAATAAATAAATAAATAAATAAATAAATAAATAAATAAATAAATAAATAAATAAATAATCAAATAAATAAATAAATAAATAAATAAATAAATAAATAAATATATATATATATACATATATATATATATATATATATATATATATATATATATATATATATATATATATATATATATATATATATATATATATATATATGGGGCCTAAACAAATTTTTTGCGTTGTGGCCCTTTTTTTCTAGTTCAGCCACTGTTTTGAACGAGCTTTGGTTTACCAAAAAATGACTCACATTTTACTTTTCTATAACAAGTCAAGCGGCTTCAGAATTCCAATGTTTACCTCACGTACCTAATTGGTCATTTGATTCAAAACGAGACATAAAAGGTGTTTCTTGTCTGCGCTCCGCCTTCTAACTTGTGTCTAAATAATGCGGACGTTTAACTGCGGAGATGCAAGAAATACTTTCATTCTGAAGTTTAAAAGTCTGGTGAATATTGTCGTATCGAATTGTTTTGTTCTGAAAGTGGGTGACCTTAAAAATTGGACGCCTTAAATCTCACAGCAGATATGTACAGAGGATTATCTTAAATAAGCACTTTTATTAACTGATAAGGGAGTATGGGCACTCGTTTCAAGTGGGCGCTTCAGGAGGATAAGCAAATGCTTCTGGTGTGGAGAATGGGTCCACAAAAGTGTCTTTTGTGCAATTGTGGACAAATGTGTACAAATTTTTCTTTGTTGTTTTTCTGCCTAATGTATATGCGTTTACTTTTTTTGAAAACTTTCAGTTTTTGTTTAGATTACTTTTAAAATTGTAAAAAAATGTTCTTTTATTTCTTAGCTTGTAAAATTGTATAGAAGTAAAGTAAAAAAAAAAATTGGTTTAATGGTTGTTATTTAAACAATTTATTTTTAAAAATCAAGTTTAATTTTTAAACTTATTTGATCAAAAACAAAATAACTGAATGTAGATGAATTAAGAAGTAAGTAATATTTGCATTGATAAAACGCTTAAAAGTCAATCGCACTGCATCATTGTGCCCTCGATATTTTCAACTATAATATTGGTGAAGAATACATCAATCAATCAATCAATTAATAAATTATTATATTAATCCGTTGACCGATCGTGATCAATTAATCAATCAAACCTTCAATCGAACCATTTCGATCAAAAATTAATCAATCATTGGCGATTAATCAAACACTCTATAAATCAATCAACAATACTGCCCCGCTATCAGTTAATCAATTGATTGATCATTTAATCTATCAATCGAGATCAAACATTTAAAAATCAATAAATCAATCGCAATCGTCGAACAATCAAATAATCAATCAATCGATCACACATACTTCTTTCCGCATTTGTATTATTTCAACAACAAAAAATATTGTTGCAGAAAAAAAAATGTCTGCTGTCTACCTAAATGAAATCAACAAAATCAACACGAGTATTTTTTATCTCTATCAAAACTTGGTTTGTCCAGCCAAAGTCTTTAGTTGTTCGCAACAACAATTTCCTGCACCAATAGGGAACAGTGTTTCTTCCAGACTTTTTTCTCCGGTAGGGTCACTTAAAATTTTTGGGGGCGGTAGACTTTCTTCGGGGGGAAGGGCGGTAGACTTTCTTCGGGGGGGGGGGGGGGGGTAGACTTTTTTCGGGGGGGGCGGGGGGCAGTAGACTTTCTTCGATGGGGGTGCGGTAGACATTCTTCGGGGGGGGGGGGGGGGGCGACAGTAGACTTTCTTTGGGGGGCTCCGAACTCTGATAGGAAAAATTGTTCCTGAGTTTAGAATCGCCTCGTCTATGATATGATCAAAACGAGACTAAATTACTTGTAAAAGGCAATAATGACTTTGGTTCATTGTGTTGTCATATGGTCAAACGTGCTGACAAATGTTATACATTTAAATGTTGGAATTAAGTCTTAAAATGTTAGTATTGCATTTTTTATTTATTCTAGTAAAATTAATCTTTAATGGGACCGTTGAGAAATAACATTTTACATCACGAGGTAGGGTTTGAGTGTGGCATTAACCTTAAATCAAAGTACATAAAATTACATTTATTTGTTTAAAATATAGTTGAAATTACAAATAAGAATCAAATATGTGTACATTGATATTGTGTAGAATATACTAAGGGAACATAACTGTTAAAATAGAAAATATAATTCTTATTTACTTCCCTTCTTAAAATTTTATAAATTCTATTGTAAATACTTTCGTGCTTTTAGCACAATTCAGTACTCGAGACAATGTCCTGAATTTTTAAACAACCAATTTATTATTGAAAAGTAAATTAGTTCATTCATTCAAAACAACACGTTTTGAAACATACAAAAGATGTGAGCGAATCACCGGCAGAAGCTTGGTTCATATCTACCATGGCACACAGAATCATGGTATAAATACGACATCAAATTTAGTTCTCCACAAATATTATCATAATATCAGGAATGGAGTTCGTTCAATCTAATAAAGGTATTTTAATGTGATTTTTGAAGGCTGTTCATATCAAGCATTAGGTTTGTTTTTACTTTAAATAATAATTTTGATTCTCATTATCTCATTGGCTTTTTCTCACATAAACCTCAATCGGCTATTTTTTTTTGTCCTGGCGGTTTGTGTCAATGGGGGGGGGGGGGGGGGGGGGGTGTCCAGTGTGTTATGTCGCAGATTTTTTTCGAACACCTGTAACATTAGAGACAAACTTATTGATATCGAACCTTCCAAAGTAGCAAAGAAAAAAAAATCCGACAATGGATTAGACTATATATTGAAAACATATTTCTTTTTAAAACCCTTGGTGACGTTTAGTAAAACTCACGACAACATGGGTAAATAACCTGGCAGAAGTAGAGCAGACAAGTCAAATGTAAAGTGATCCCGCAGCTTTTGTAACTCACTCTATGCTCCTTGCTTCAAACAATCATCACTTTACTTGTCCTCACACAATCATCACTTTACTTGTCCTCACACAATCATCACTTTACTTGTCCTCACACAATCATCATTTTACTTGTCCTCACACAATCATCACTTTTCTTGTCCTCACACAATCATCACTTTACCTGTCCTCACACAAGTCCTCACACAATCATCACTTTACTTGTCCTCACACAATCATCACTTTACTTGTCCTCACACAATCATCACTTTACTAGCCCTCACTACTTAACTAGGCCTCAAACAAACTATTTGGTCTCATCTAGTAAGAAATATTTTGCTTGGTAAGAACTTTGCTATACAGAAATGAGGAAGGGGGAATTTATTTGGATTGAAAGGGGGGGGGGTGACTTTTTAAAATTATTTTATTTGGGGAGTGGTGAGGGGTATAATCTTGCTTTATTTCACCGTAGTTGCTAACTTTAACGACAGGGGATTTTCAAAACTGTTTACATCCTATTGACTTTCATGTTTACCAGCATACTGTCTATGTGCCAAACCATATCCCAAAGTGAAGGTCATATCTTGTAGAGCAGACACGTGATGACAGGAGACACGCTCCGCTGGGTCACGTGTCTGTGTAGGGTGGTAAACTTTCCAGGCACCAGTACAAGGAAAAGTCGCTGGACGGTGTGAGCACTGCAGGCCGGTTAGTGGACAGTTCGTTTAGTTGGAGAATTAAAGTTGTCGGAACAAAACATGGTTTCAATGTGTTTCACCAGTTCTCCTTTAGTGCTAGGCTTTGGGAACCAGTAAGGCGTAACAAAATGGAGGTTAAAGAGACTTAACTTTTATTGTTATAGTTACACAATCAATTTAAAAACAAGTAGTATATAAATACAGTATACCTTCATATAACGAAATAAACTATATTTCTGATCTAAATGTGTACCTAGTTTATTATTTTACTTTTATAATACTACACTTCGGCTTAATAATGATAAAAAAATCAAATTCAATTAATCATAGTTTTTTTTTTAATTTATACGTGAAATAATAGTGTTTTATTTGTTAAATAGTTTTTGTAGGCGGAAAGATTTTTACCCCACACTAAATCTTTCGTACTCAAACAGCGGTTTGCCTTCAACTCACAACAACGATTTCTACACAACACTCAACAACAATTTGTACACCACATTCTGCTACGAAGTTAACTGTCACACACAACTTCTGATAAAAGAGGATTTTGTTCTCGGTGTAAGTAACCCGTTTATATGGAAATATCAATTAACATATGATTAGCTTATATTCTTGTGTGTTAATCAGTGACATTCAATTACCTATAATTACCAAACGTAGAAGGATAGAGACTGGCTATAAAAGAGTCAACTCCCAGTCACAACTCACCAGACCCACCAACTAAACAACCGTGTTGTAGCTACATCAGCTGATATTTCAAGATGTTCAAGGAAATCTTCCTGCTCTCTGTTATTGCCTGTGGTAAGTTTTTGACTTTTAGATATTTTCTGCTATAAATTGTAAAATATTGTTATTGATGTTGATGAAATTTTTTTTTAACTTAACACAAATGGCAAATTTGTTGCTGTTTTCATCAAATCGAATACTTAAAGAAAAAGTATTGTGGATACTACTTTAAATTTACTGAATATATTTTTAAAAATATTCAAGTTCAGATCCCGGGCTCGAATCACTAAGAAATCACTGAGTCCACCCAGCTCTGATGGGTACTTGACTCACGTTAAGCAATCAAAAGAAACTGGGTATAGGTTCGACCATACTCTCCACTTGTATGCCGAGATCATTCAAACAAATGAACTCTACTTCACCTGCGCGTGTGTATTGGACACAAACAGGAGAAGATGATGATTTTTAAAAATGAAATTGTAAACAAAAGTTTTACATCGAACGTACTCTTTTTTTTTCTTGAATGTATGAGAACTTGGTGAAAGGCATTAACTTATGTAACAAGTAACAATATTTTAAAATGAAGTTGCCATAAAACAGAAAATCTCAGCTACAAAATCCTTTGCAGGTTTTAAATGTTTAACTAGCGTTAATTATTTGGAGATCAAAGAAAGTTGAACTTACTTACTTCAATGCATCAAATAATCCTCTATCGTATGTGCTTTCATCAGTATTTTACTTTATTCCAGCCGTCCTGGCAACAGAAAACTACTGGTGCCCTAAGTCAGGCGACGCATTCCAATGTTTCGAGTCAGCTAAACAAGCCAGATTTTGTTTGTCTAATGGCCAGGAGACAAAAACTATTTGCGGCAAATGCAGGAAGAAGTTCGAATTTTGCAGGTGGGTTCAGCAGGGTTTTTGTTTCTTAGTTAGACTGTTCACGAACAGTTCAACTATCGCTAGCTGTATAAACGTATCAAATAACTTTGGGTATAGAGCCTAACCAATGTCCTAACTGTATCCCCCAGAAACGGCATGAAATCCTCCACCAGACCAGATGTTGACTGTGGCCCAAGTTGGCAGAGTACACCATGTACAGATGACATCTCCGAGGTTCCAACCGTTTTCTAAAAAATGCAGGTGAAAAAAACATTCCATTTGTTGAAATCGTGCTAGTGAACCTAATAAAATCTAATGCGACTATTAAGATTACCTTTTAATAATCTGAAAAATATAATCTAACATACAGTTAGATTTATTTTCATGAAGATTTTATGCTTGATAAAATATTATTAAAATACTATTTAAAATAATTTAGAATGACTATAAATTAGCAAAATAATAAGATTGAAACCTTACTTATATGTAACAGATAGTATATTAAACTTAATTAATACGATTGAAATATGACTTAAATTTAATTGGCTGTGTATTACTTTAATGCAACTTTCATTGACCGTTAATTAAACTTAAGTAATACGATCTAAACTTTACTTGCCGGTTTCTTCCCTAAAATGTTTAGAATCCCATTTGTGTTGCATCAATGGTTTTGATGTTTTCACGGCTGAACAGGTTGTCACATAAAATCAGAGATCTCTACGAGTGAGCTTCCTTCAGAAATATCTCAAGCAGAATTTGAAGACTTGCTCAGCCTTTGTTAAGTGTATTAATCACTGTATTTATTTATGTTAATTGCCATCTGATAACTAATGATAATAAACAATACAAAAAAAATCATTTTGTTTTAGTCCAATGTATTTAGACTCTAATAACTACAGCTACGTTACTTAAATAAACGGGGGGGGGGGGGTCTTGAGAGTTTGAACCCTCGGGTAGATAAGGCTCTTCAGTCAGACCCAGCAACCCATCTAAGAGAGAAAACTCCTAAATCAAACAGGTTTCCATTCGGCAGCTCCTACGACACTACTGATTCCAAGCTGTACAGGTAACGTCCTGTCCCTTGGATGAATCAGCTGGGCCACATCTGGTTATTCTCAACTTAAGGCCCAGCCTTTATGCTTGGATTTCCAATGCGCAATCATCCAATAATCTAGCACACTTTACAGCCATATACGTGGAAATAATTAATTGAGCAATTATTTAAGCACATATGAACGATAATCTTTATCGTGTTGTTAAAACCATGTGATAGTATTGTGAAAAGCAGAAAAGTGCCAAATACTAAACTCGCATTTTGATGTAATAACATAAAAACTTACAAACCGCTTCTACCTTTAGTAAATAATATAATTAAACAAAAACATTTAAACAAAGCTTATATATTTTCAACCATGCCAGGCAGGACATCAGGCTAGGATGGAGGTTATGATGATCAGTAGATAACGCTTTACCTATATGAGATAATATAATAAACTTTATTAATACGATTGAAATATGACTTAAATTTAATTGGCTGTGTATAAAATGTAAATAATTACATCGAAACATTACTTAAATGCAACTTTAATTAACCGTTAATTAAACTTAAGTAGTACGATCTAAACTTTACTAGCCCGTTTCTTCCCTAAAATGTTTAGAATCCCATTTGTGTTGCTCTGTTATCAATGGTTTTGATGTTTTCACGGCTGAACAGGTTTTCATATAAAATCAGAGATCTCTACTTGTGAGCTTCCTTCAGAAATATCTCAAGCAGAATTTGAAGACTTGCTCAGCCTTTGTTAAGTGTATTAATCAATGTATTTATTTATGTTAATTGCCATCTGATGACTTATGATAATAAACAATACAAAAATAATTTTGTTTTAGTCCGCTGTATTTAGACTCTGATAACAGCAGCTCATTACTTAAATAAACGGGGGGCTCTAGAGTTCGAACCCTCGGGCAGATAAGGCTCTTCAGCCAGACCCAGCAACCCATCTAAGAGAGAAAACTCCTAAATCAAACAAGTTTCCTTTCGGCAGCTCCTACGATACTACTGATTCCAAGTTGTATAGGTAACGTCCTGTCCCTTGGGTGAATCAGCTGTGTGGAGAGAGGGGGTCTGGTACACGGGCCACATCTGGTTATTCTCAAATTAAGACCCAGCCTCTATGCTTGGATTTCCAATGCGCAATCATCCAATAGCAGACTGTAGAAATAATTAATTGAGAAAACATTAAAGCACACATAAACGATAATCTTTTATCGTGTTGTTCAAACCATATGATAGTATTGTGAAAAACAGAAGAGAGCCAAATACTCAACTTGCATTTTGATGTAAAAACATAAAAACTTACAAACCGCTTCTACCTTCAGTAAATAAAATAATTAAACAAAAACATTTAAACCACGCTTATATATTTTCAACCATGCCAGGCAGGACATCAGGCTAGGATGGAGATCCTGATGATCGGCAGATCGCGCTTGTAAGAAGAAAACTTTAGTTATAAAATAACGCTATTCAGCATATCACGATAAGTGCGAGATCTTGATAATCAGTAGATAACGTAAGTCAGAGTATTACATCAAATTTGTAGTTTTCTAACATTTGATACGTACTCTACCTTCCGTGTCTCAAATGATGATTACTTGAGTACCATTTAAGCTATGTTGAAGAACTTTCACATATAAGTATAAAATTGTATGTGCAGGTTTCGTCAACTTTCAATCTATTTCTTGTAACCCTAGGAAAAACATAACGTGAGTACTGTTTTAGAAAAAAATTGGATGACTTTCAGTTTTTGAGTAACCTCCGACATCCAGGAATGGTAATTTACTCTATTTCTGCCATCCCCATTACTCCTATAAATAAACCGGGAGTGATCTCCCCTAAACTTTCTCCAATTTTCTTATATAACACTACGGGGGATAGCAACTCGGGATATAGAAATATTATCAATCCATTTTTAATTGCTCAAATTTTTTAAAAATATAATAGAATCTCGTAGAAAAAAGAATTGCACACCAAGTGAACGAAAAACAATATGTGTATAATAAGGGGGAATATTATTAGTACTTTACAGATTCATATGCGTTTTTTTGTGAAATCTCTCAATGGAAATTACTCAAAATTTAACAGCAGGCAGAAAATTAGATATTTTACTCATATGTTAAATTTTGTTCATCTATCTGAAAAAGTACTGATGTTATAAGCTTTTGAAAAATTGAAAGTAGAATAAGTTCCACTTCTGGTTACCGGAAATCGCTCAAAAAAGTTAATACAGAGCTACAAATTTAATATAATACTTGTATATGAAATTCCATTGACCTAGCTGTAACGGTACTCAAGTTATCGTGTTTACACACACACACACACACACACACACACATCCACACATCCACACATCCACACACACAGACATACGGACAAGATTGCAAAGCTATGTTTTCCCGACTCATGGAGCTGTAAAACGTCGAGATTTGCAAAAAAAAAAAATCAAGATTTTTTTTTGCACGATTACAAGACTTTCTCTATACTTCGTATATACGAGAAAGTAAAAATATTGGATAACGTTTAGGGAAGATTATTCCAGTCTTATTTCTGGTATTTTACATTCTGGCTATTCGAGTAATTCTTTGACTTGAAAACATTTGCACACCTCTTAAATTGGAAATATTATTATCATGGGTGACACACTAAAAAACGCGCTTATTTTGATGCAGCAAAATGTACACGATGTTTACATCAGACTTATAGATCTACATTTTAAAAAAAAGGTAAACGAAAATGTAATTTTATAATAAGATCCTAGAGTCTAGGACCTAGACACTAGATTTATAATCCTTTCAATTTAGTTGTAAACATGAAACCGTGGCGTAGGCTGAATACGAAATGCCATTTTTATTTGAAATATCTATTCATTGTCAAGACAATTCTATTTGAGACTCAATACGCTGGATTTCACATTGGACTCACAATACAACCAATAAATGAAACGTTTTGGACTTCAATGAGCTAACGATAATCATTCAAATCATTTTTGCTAACATAGATCTAGATAACAAATCGTTGTTTTTGTGTTTTTATTAGTTTTGCTTTTATAGCGAGGAGAAAAAAAATGTAGAGAACTGGAAAATAATTATTTAACGTAAAGGCTACGTTTCTATTTGTTTTCATCAACCTTAAATCATAACCTAAAATTTACCTTCGTAAGACAAACTTTGATTGGCTGTACAAAAGCTCCGTGATTGATCGGTTTTCTGAAAACCCCAACTTTATACTCGAAACTTAGCCGATAAACTGTTTAATAAAGTTTTCGTTTTTAAAACCACATAGCTTAATCATTCCATGTTTTTGTGCAGTTTCGGTGATGATATGAACAAAAATATATTTTTGGCTTTTTGAATTGTTGATTAGTTTACGAAAATAATAAAGAAAACATCAAAATTCTTCAATTTTTTTGTAGTAAAGTCAAACAAAAACCACACAGAAATTACGACCACATTTATTTTAATAATATCACACGTGATATTTAAAATAGTATTGGCCTTTCGACTGGTCTCGATACTTATCTCGTATCCAGTGGGTATCATCCCAACTTCAATCATGCCAAAGCTGATATAAAATATTTAAAAACTAATTAGGGGACATACATAGACTTGCCGTTTTCGTCCCATCTTACCTTTTAGACCTAAAGCTATGTCACAATTTTCTACCTCATAAATAACGTGACACGACGTGACCTAGCCTGACCTCACCCTACACCCACCTAGCTGGTGGGGGTCCCAACATCTCGCATATGGATATAGGGAGGGCGGGTCGATATTTCCAAGTGTATGTGATGTCCTTTTATTGAAAAGATTTCATTTAAAATCTATAACTATGTGTGTTTTAAATGTTTAAACAATTTTTTAAATAAATACATTTCTAATTCAGGCAATACAACTTTACAGTAATATTCCTGGGGATGAAGACGCCAGATTCAGTTGAACATACGGAAGAGAAACCGAGCAAAGGCTTAACCTCAACATCTGTTGGTATCTTGAACTACAAACGTTTAGAATAAGACTTCTAATAATAAGAATAATCTAAAAGTTGTAAAACTACAGCAATGAACACACACAATATCAGCTCTCAAATAGTGCAGTGTTTAGGGAATGTGTGGGCTAAGAAAATGTTGTATGATTTCACTGTGAAAATCGGTGACGAAGCTATCGAATGTCATCGACTCATCCTGGCTGCCTGCTCGGATTTTTTCAAGGATCTGTTTACATCAGGCATGAGAGAAGTGACAGAGAACTATGTTGTTTTACCAGATGTTTCTTGTGATGGGTTTCGGTTAGTTTTAAAATGCATTTATACTGGTGAAGATGTTTTGACTTTCGAAAACTTGTATGAATTTTGGCTAGTAGCTCACAGGTTGAGAATAAACTTTTTATTAGATATGACTGAAACATTTGCCATTGAAGCTATTAGTATAGACAACTGGGATAACATTTACAGAATAGCTAAACTTTTAAAATCAGGAAAAGTACTGTATCAGATTCGTGTATTTATGTTAAAAAACTTTGATCAAATCAGTCTTACATCAACATATCTTCAGCTGTCTTTCTATGAGCTACGTGATCTATTAAAGAGCGAAGATCTTAATGTTCAAAACGAAGACGTAGTTCTCGAAGCGGTGATGAAATGGGTCAATTATGTCCCTTCAGTGACAAGTGAGTTAGTAGAGGATGATCTTTGCAAAAAGAAAGATAATACCAAAGGAAAACGTTCAATGTTAATCCATTCGAATGTATTTGGTTCAATTGTAGATAAGGAGTTTTCTAGAAAAGATAAACTTCCAGAGCTGTTGAAAAAAATCAGGACATGCCTTGTAAGTCATGCACTTTTAACGCGTGTTTACAAGATGGACGTTGTATCCACAAATAAAGATTCAAGAGAAATAATTGTCAATGCTATATTATATCACGTCCAGAAGTTTAAACACGGCCATTGGCCCATCGCTGCTCTACACAGAGCTTGTAGTGGGTACACACATGGTGGTATCCTTGCAGTTGACGGAGGAAATTTTAAATTTATAAGTGCACACGATGAGAAGATGTACACCATTACAAGAAGCGATTTGTTGCAAGACTGTGTTCAGTTCACCACCGTTCAGGGTGAACTGTATGCTATAGGTAAACAACTTTCCTCCACCAGTGGAGAGTTTAATATTGCTGTATTTCGGGAAAACAAGTGGAATTTTGTGATGAAGATAAAAAGTTGTAATTTGATATTTTTCTCACGTAGCGGCTTGCTGCACATTTTTAACAGAGACGAGCAGAGCATATACACCATTCCGAAACAGAAAAAATATATAACAATGGCAGAGAGACTTCGAGATTTTGATAAAACCAATTATGTTGAACATGCAATGAGTCATGATAACTGTATTTTATTATTTAGTTCTTTATCTCTCGATGACACAAAACGAACAGCCGTTTGCAAAATTGATGCTTTGGATAATTGTTGGCATAAACGGTTTCTTGATGGGCCATCTGAACACTTGATCAGCTTCAGAAATGACAACTTTAATTATATTCTGCAGAAAAATGGATGTATGAGTCTCGTATGTTTACCTCATTATGGTAAAGACATTCATTTTCGAAGTCTTGTCAAGCTTTGGGATTTAGAAAGAGAGCTCTATGGTGCTTTCGCTTACAAAAAGAAACTTATCATTTTTGGAGCGAAACCAAACCCCGATTGCCCTGAAATGAAAACACTACTTGCAGTACCTAATCACTTTAAGTTGGTGAAGTACTGGGGCATTGAAGCAAAATGTTCTAATATTGCTCCAGTCATTCTGCCAACAGCTAATCTCAGTGAGGATAACCACGATTCGATTATATAAATTTTCGATTTAAATTAGCAGTATATCTATAAATACATATCTACAGTACATTTTTATATTTTTATATACATACACACTTATCCATATATTAATTATAAAATTGTTTATATATATATATACACATGAATGTGTGAATTATACATATTGTATTGAAACATAATAAAAATAAACCGGGAGTAATCTCCCCTAAAATTTATCGAATTTTCTTATATAACACTACGGGGGATAGCAGCTTGGGATATAGACATGATGTTTAATCCATTTTTAATTTCTTAAACTTTTTTTAAAAAATTCATAAAAAACGTTTTAATAACAAGCTTTTATGTAATATTGCACTAAAAAGTAGAAAATAAATTATACAGCCAACTACGAACTGTATCTGTCAGTTAGCAGTACCCGTAATTTCGCTCAGGCGTTTCGATCTAGACTGACGACAGACTAAAGACATAGACAGTGAGTTAAATAAGAGCTTGTAAAATAAGCCGGGAGTGATCTCCCAAAAACTTTCTCGAATATCTATCTATCCATATATATAATTCTCTTCTTGGGGACCATACGAGGCAGCTTAGCCGTTCCTACCCCGCTTTCTAGGCATATCACTGCCACCCTCATCCCAACCTGTCAGGTGAGCTATGGTTCACCGCGAATGTTCACAAAAGTAGAGCCGGTTCGAATAAATGATGGCTATTAGGGGCAGATAATTTAGCTTTTAAACGATTTGAAACTAAGTGGAGATAATAAGTTCTGCTTGATATTTTCATTATCGTCTGTAAACGACTGCTTTCACTGTTGCGGGGTGGGGAGGGGGGGAAGGGGGTAGGGGTAGTGTCGAATTCCCAAGTTATGAATTGTTGATAAGTATAAAGTAAAACAACTAGATAGCGGCGTATGCTACTTCGCGAGTCAGCTCGTTCTTATGTAAAACAACAGAGGATAGCAACTCGGAACATAGTCATGATTTTAAATTCATTTTTAATTACTTAAACTTTTTAAAACAGAATATAATCTCGTAGAAAAAAAGAAATGTACCCCAAGTGAGCGCAAAACAAAATGTGTATAATAGTGCGGAATACTAGTAGGCCTACTTTAAAAATTCATGAGTTGTTTTTTTTTTTTTTTTTTTTTTTTTTTTTTTTTGAGAAATCGGAAATACCGTTAATTCCTACTTTCAATTAACGGAAATTTCTCAAAATTTGACAGAAGGCAGCAAATATTTGATTTTTTACTTACATGCGAAATCGCATTTATCTATCTAAAATAGCACTCAAGTTATAGGTTTTTGAAAAATTGAAAGTAGAAAAAGTTCCACTTCCTGTTATTGGAAATCGCACAAAATTCGATACACATCCACAAATTTGATATAACACTTATATATAAAATTTCATCAACCTAGCTATAACCGTACTCAAGTTATCGTGTTTACACACGCACGCACACATAGAGATAGAGAGAGAGAGAGAGGGGAGAGAGAGAGATACGAACAAGATTGCGAGTTCGGGTGTCACCCGATGCGGCACTTAATGGTGTCACCCCCCAGAGGCGTAGCGACCCTTCCCTGGGACAAACTTTCAATTTTCGATTTGCACCCCACCCTCAAACTTTCGATTTGCACTCCCTTCCCCTCGAACTTTCGATTTGCACCACTTAAAAGACTATTTAACACTCGAATTAATCACTTAATTAAGTGGAATTTTTCTATATATATTTTGCTATTTTTTGCCTAGGTGTCACCACCCGAGGGCAGCAAAGGAAAAATGAATGATGAATGATTCACTCACTCACAATAGATCCAAACGAGTTTGAGAAATTGCATTTCATTATTATGACATGGATAAAAATTGTGTTTTAGTCCATTTTGATTCATAACGGTATTAAAAAGCCTTAAGAATTGCATAAATTAAATATTAAAAATCATCATAATCATAAGTTTTTATTTTAGAGAACTTAAAAATAATTTTTTTTTGTTTAATGTTTTATTTGTATTATGCTTATATTTTAACTGAGGTTTTAGTATAGTAAGACAAACATTGCTTAGCTCTTTAGGACTTCCTCCGGTGTTTCTGATAAACCCACGTACTGGTAAATTGTACTCAAAACTTTGCCGATCAATTTTTAAAAATGAATTAAATTGTTTAAACTTTTTAAATTACATTACCGGGTTATTTCATGTTTTTGTTTATGTTTTAGTGAGAAAATGAAAAAAATAAATTGGGTTTGGCTTTTTTTTTAATAAGGTCCGATTGTTAGGTTCAGTAAAACCCTTACAATGAAGATTTTATAACCACATGTTTAAAAATATTTTCTGGAACATTCAAGATCTATCTTTTATTTCCATACTTTTTACACTTAAGCTCTGTTCGTTTTTAATTTGAAATTTAATTAAAGTTACGCACCAAAGAAACGCGCTAATTTTGATGCAGAACGAATGAACACATCCGCTTTGTAGTTTAAACATACATAGACTATAAACAAATGTAATTTTTTAAAAAACATCCAAAATGTGAAGTCCTTACATTTTCGTTGAAGGCTATACCCGACGCTACCTTGGGTGTGGCAAATGTACACGCTTTTTATTCAAGTGTTTTTATGTAAGGATAGCTTGGGATAATGTAAGTTCATTTAAGAAAGCACGATCCAATACTATTATTACTTATCAAATCGGTAGATCTAGATCTTGTAACACCCCACCTCTTCGTTAATCTTCACATATCTTCACAAATTTTGAGACCTTCTGAAATGACCTTACACTTTAGCCTAACCCTAACCCCAATCGCTTACATAAACCTTCACCTTACCCTACCCTCCCGTGTCCACCGCTCTCAATCGTTTGGTGTATGAAAAAAAAAATGTTACCAAAATGTTATACTTTCTTATCAGCTTTTTCCGATTGTAGCAAAGCGTAACAATAGACTAACGGCACGCAAAAGGATAAAGTCTTACACAAATTTCGCAAACATTAAGGGGTTCATGTGACAATAAAGTTCTGCAATAATCGTTGTAATTAATCTATTGCTGATTTTAAGGGAATGTAATTATAGGAACGATGTTTATCTATAGTCTGTTAATTATACAGTTGGATGTAACATTGTTTTCTCTATTGTTAGCACGCTCAAGGCATGGTGTCACCCCCGCAATTAGAGATTTATAATTTTAATTTTATTTGCTTTTAAACACATTCTTTTTTATTACATTTTTAATATAATAAAATGCATATTATATTGTATTCACTGACCTTTTCGAAAAGAAGACATCATAATACTGATTTCTAGCAATAAGGTCCACATACCCAATATGTCATGTTCTAGCGATATTAATAGGGAAGTAAGTTTTGAGACGTTCTTGAGTTATTAAAAGGGAAGTAAGTTTTGAGACGTTCTAAAGTTATTAAACAAGGAGTAAATTTTGAGACGTTCTAGAGTTAATAAAAGGGAAGGAACTTTTGAGACGTTCTTAAGTTATTAAAAGGGAAGGAACTTTTGAGACTTCTAAAGTTATTAAAAGGGAAGGAACTTTTGAGACTTCTAAAGTTATTAAATGGGGAGTAAGTTTTAAGACGTCTATTAAACAGGTGTAGACGCCTACGTCGGGGTGGAAGGGACGTCCAAAAAGCACTCTAGAACATGGGTTCCCAAACTAGGGGTTGCGACCCCTAGGGGAGTTGCGAAGGGCTTTCTAGGGGGTCGCAAACTGGTAGACTAAACCCTAGAAATGAAAAAAATATATATTTAGAAGAATATCTTAAATTCGGCTTTACTACGACGCAGGAAATAAAATAGAGAAAAACAATGCGTACTGTGCAAAGTTTTTCTCAGCCATAAGTCTATGTAACCTTCAAAACTTTAACTTCATTTTGAGACGAGTCATTCTGAACACACCGAAAAAGATATGGAATTCTTTCGTCGGCATGAAGCTAATTGCAAACGTCAGAGACTTAATCGAAGACGAAGTTTTCTTCAAGGAAACACAGCATTAGTGCAAGCATCAAATGAAGTCGCATTAGAAATCGCCGAGTAAAAACAACACAATAAGATAAAATCTCATCAAACACTGCATGTTGAAGATGGTGAAATTAATTGTCGGGGATTCCAGTGCAGTAAAGATGCAACAAATAGCTCTGTCTAATAATACTATTCAGCGGCTAATAATAGACATGTCCGTAAATTTCTGGGCATCTTAATCTCTAGGAAAAGAACCGCGGCGTTATTTGTCCTGAGTTGAAAGAAGAAACTGCATTGTCACGTAACGCATTCTCTGCGTCCCTTGATGTCGCCAGCATTCCCAATGAATTACAAGATGAAATCTTAAATGTGCGGTATGACTCCGCTTCGTATGAAAAACTGCTCACATTTTTTGGTATAGTAAGTACCATTTATACCCAAACGTGAAATTGATTGCCTTTCGAGTTTTAGTTCCTTTTATGTCTACATATCTTTGCGAGAATAGATTGTTCAACACTTTTCCAATTAAAAACAAAACAAGTTAATTAAAAAATAAATTAAATGTTGAGAATGACATGAGATAGGCGTTAACAAAACTAACCTGCAAATGTTGAAATTTTACTCATCTTATTAAAACGGTTATCAAGAATAATTCATTTTGAAAGTCTACGAAAAAATCTTACTTTAGGTCTTATAAATTTCATTACTAATTTCGACGTTTTAATTCCATGGGGGTCGCGGGTCACTTACTTTTTGTAAAAGGGGGTCGACACTCGAAAAAGTTTGGGAACCACTTCTCTAGAGTCTAGTGGATAGGGGAGGGGTGGTCTAAAATACTATGTTGAATAATATCATAAAGAGATAGGAAATGGGTGATTCAAACAACATATGCCTGTGTCGTAAATTGATACGGGAGAGACGGTTCAAACACCCTTGTTATGCCTGTGTCATATATATATATATATATATATATATATATATATATATATATATATAAACAAAATACGAAAATACGAACATAGAATACTCAATACGGGCTTGTTCGAAATTTGATAAATTAAAATATCGTAGTTGTTATTTTTAATTAAAGCATGTTACAACAACACATCTGTGTGAGTGCGATCAGCCTGTTTTCAAATTCTTTGTTTTAATTTCTGATATAATGCTTCCTAATTTACAAGTCGGTCAAAAGAATATGAAGCATGAAAGCTTTAAAAGTGAAATGGTTTCTCGCCTTATGTTTATTTTTATGTTTATTTGTGTGTTTATTATTATTAGTTTTGAATACATTTCCTTTTTACACTATGTCATTCTTATTGCGTATTTTTTTTTAAAAAATAATAATTTAGAGAAGTAATTGCTTTTTAATTGTATAGTGCAAATCTATTATACGTTTCTTAAGGTCACACATATTTAACTTTTTAAAAAAGGGAAATAAGTCATGGAAGTGGTTTGAACATTTGCCTTTTACACTTCAACTCATGTAGCCTATATATTTTTTCCTTTACGAAACAGCGTGTGTTAGCGAATGTAGAACATTACTACTGTAGTAGATCTGTTTGTTTTTTACAAGAAAATTATTTTTTTAACTATAAAAAAAATTGATTATGGTTGGCTGCGGGCCCCTAAACTGCATGCCCCCCCCCCCCCCCGCATTGCGGGGTCTGGCGGCACTGTAGTTCCGCCCCTGCAATGGATGTTCTCTTATTATAAAGCAATTGGTTTTTTAAAGCTAAATCAGACTGTGATTCAAATGTTAAAAGAATGTCATTTTTTTTTTTTAAATTCAGGCAACAAGATCGCACAGTCAGCTTTAAGGGAAGGAAACTCCAGATTAAGCTGCACGCACGAAAAACAAAAACATCGAGCCAATGCTTAACTTCCGAACCTGCGTGTATATAGAGCAACAAAGCATTGAGTATGACAACATCTTCTAATTTGAATAATATAAATCTCGAAAACCGCATCAGATGTGTCATCACAGTCGGAAAAGATAGCTGAACTAAAGACGTAAAATCTATTTGATCAAGTTACCAGTCTTCCAACAACATCTTAACTTATTGATGTGTATCATATAGCTTTTTACAGCCTATCACGATTGAAAAAGTTTTCAAAACTGTCTTGTCGGCGATAGATGGCCAATAACGTCGTATAATTTGATAATATTATCCTCATGGTATCAATAGTCTGTTGTTTATTTGAAAGTATTTAGAGTATTGCAAAAAAAATTACCGATATAACTTTCTGCAGCATTTTTTAAAATATGGACCGGCAAAGTCTCTGTTCCGACTTACTTTATTGTATAGGCAATGCATGGACTGACGAATTATTATATGATGTCAATGTGGAAATTGATGGTAAATCTATCAAATGCCATACATTTATCCTTGCAGCTTTTTCGGAATTTTTCAAGGATATATTTACATCAACAAATGAAAGAAGAAACGCGCATGTTTCTTTACAAAATATCCCTTTTGATGTGTTTGAGTCAATTTTAAAATGTCTTTATACCGGCGATATTATTTTAACTACCGACAATTATTTTGATATCTGGAGGGCAGCTAGTTTTTTTAAAATAAAAATTGTATTGAAATTGTGTGAAAAATTTGCTATTGATGCTATTAATATGGACACATGGGAAAGCATTTACAAAAATGCAACCATTTTAGAATCAAACAACGTTCTCCGTCAGATTCGAATATTCATGACAGAAAACTTTGAACAAACTAGTCTTACATCAACATTTCTTGAGCTGAGTTTCTCTATAGTACGCGGTCTGATAACAAGTCACAAACTCAACGTCAAAAACGAAGACGTGGTTCTTGACGCGGTGATTCGGTGGGTCAATCATGCCCCTAAAGCGACGAGTGAGTTAGTCGAAACCAACGGGGATGGTGTTAACAGCGAGAAAGGACCGAACTCTGTGGGACAGGTTGCTACAGACACCACGCAACCCCAAGACTGTCCGCAATGTTCGAGGAAAGCAAAACTTCCTAAACTGTTACGGTACGTCCGGACATGCCTTGTAAGTCATGCACTTTTAACGCGCGTTTACAAGATGGACGTGATATCCACAAATAAAGATGCAAGAGAAATAATTGTCAAAGCTATACTATATCACGTGAAGAATTTTAGACAAGGTCATTGGCCCAGCGCTGCTCTACACAGAGCTTGTAGTGGGTACACACATGGTGGAGTCTTTGCAGTTGACGGAGGAAACTTTAAATTTATAAGTGCACACGATGAGAAGATGTACACCATTACAAGAAGCGATTTGTTGCAAGACTGTGTTCAGTTCACCACCGTTCAGGGTGAACTGTATGCTATAGGCAAACAACTTTCCTCTCCCAATGAAGAATTGAGTATTGCTGTCTTTCGGGAAAACAAGTGGAATTTTGTGATGAAGATGGAGATAAAAGATTGTTTGTTTTTTTCACAAAGAGATTTAATACACTGTTACAACCAAGAAGATTATATTTTAAAATCCATCAATTCAAAATCGATTGAAATTGTGACTAGGGGAATAGCGATTAGAAATCTGCCGCATGTTGCTCATGCAATGAGTCTAGAAAACTATATTTTGTTTTTTTATGCAGATGATTTTGAGGGCATTTTTACGACTTGCGTCATTAAATTTGATCTCTGCTCCAAATCCGCAGAAAAAATCACTCGGCTCCAAGGATCCGCTGAAAATTTGACTAGCTTTAGGAATGATATATTTCATTACGTTTTAATGAAAGACGGCAGTCTGTGGCTAATAGATTATTGTCCATACAGCTGCGTGTTCGATTTTTATTTTGTTAAAGCGCTCTGGGAATCGGATAGAGAGGTGTACGGTGCGTTTGCTTACGCAGGGAAACTTCTCATTTTCGGAAAGCATCCGAATTCCGGTTCGCCTGACGATCATGTAAAAAAAATTCATCGTCACTTTCAAGTGGTGAAGTACTTGAGCATGGAAGCAAAATGTTCCAATATTGCTCCAGTCATACTACCCACAGCTGTTCTCAGCGAGGTTGAGGACGATTCGTAACAGTCAAGTTGTACAGTTCAACATCTATATGAAACACAAAAATAATGTTTCTCATACACACATATACACACACATCGACACCTATTGAAGTAAATATATTCTTTTATATTTAAAAAAAATAATGTTGAAATAATTGTCTCCCACATATTTCTACGTTGCTTTTAGCCAGTCCATTTCAGATAATTAATTAAATACCCCAATCAATCCTATAACTTTGAATCTTTGAACTACGAGACCATTATTTTGTCCTTTACAACATTGTTAAGGATGCTTCAAGCGGCTTTGAATGAAAGTAAAGCAATTTTTAAACAAAAAGCATGTGGATGTAAAATGTAATCGCCTGTATTTCCAACTTGTTAAACAAAACAAAAATGTATTTAGTGCTTTTCTTCAATCCAACTATGCTTCTCACCATCAGCATATGTAGTTGTTGATTAAATAAAATAAATGTTTTTTTTTCTCGGCTTAATTTGTTAAACATTTGTGTTTAAAAACTAGTTTTATGCCATTAATGACCAAGATATATATATATATATATATATATATAGTAGGTATAGAATGCTCTTTAGAGCTACCAATCCAAGATGAAGTATGGTTCATATGTTTCTTGGTAAAACCTTAGTTTAGCGTCAGTATTAATCCGTAAATCCGTATAGCAGTAAAAACAGTAAAACAATGACTAAGTCTGTCACACACTTCAGGAATCCACCGGAAGTACTGTAAACCATACTTTATTTGGCGTATTCTTTTATTTTTTTATACAGAATGTTTTAAATTTGGATAGTTTTATTTTATTTGCGTGTTAAATACTGCTTTATTAATCATTTTGTAAAACTAGTTATTTTTTAAGTGTTCCAGCTAAATATTTCTACTACTAAACATTGTTTAACAGGGTTCGTACGCAGTCTGGAAAAAGTCTTGCATTTAGAAAAGTGAATTTCAGACTTTAAAACGTCTGGACGGGTCTACACTGTGGAATGATGTTTTTTTGCTGGATCGTTGAAGAAACCCGATTTCTCAATTACTAAGTCATTTGGGGAGGGGGGGGGGGGGGGAAAGAGTGGCCATACAAATCTTGACCTCTTTTTTTTTTTACCCGCTATTATCTCTTAAGCTTGTCTGAGGTTGCAGGCAGGTAGTCCTATAAGAAAAATTATGAAGAAAGCTGTAAATGGTAGTCTACTTATAATTTAACCACCTGTATTTTGAAAAACTTCCCATTTACATTTGCGAAAAAGCGCGCCACGATCGACCACCTTACTTTTTAAAACTTTACTGTTACACAATACGCGTTAATACAATTATTTTATTTTCTTGGTGTTAAAACAAATCCAGAACAAATATTTTCGATTTTTGTTCTCGAAAAAGCTGGAAAAGCGCTTTTTTGCCGGTAACTGTTTCTAAAGGGTATATGATTTATAATTACACTATCAAAGTAGAAAATAGTTAAATAAGTATGTAAAGGCTTGTAACCGTTACTTTTCTCAGCTTAGACTGTTTATAATAAAAACAGCAGCATAGAATCAGCTTTAAAAAATTTCTCCACCCCTTCTGGCGCCCCCACTTTGGTTGGCGCTCGAGGCAGCTCATAAATTTTAGTATATTTTCAGTTCTTCCATGTAGCTACTAAGTTATGGGCTAATCCCTATTTGTTTTTACCACTATTACCGACCCAGTTGGACTCCTCGACCTACAGTCTCCCCCCCCCCCCCCCCACCCCTGCGGAGGCTGCCTACTATAATAGCCATAAAAATATTAATTTTATTTCACTAACCATCCTTGGGACCGGCATAATATATGCCCTAAGGTTTATTTAATCGAAGTTACTTGTGCTATGCAGGACCTCACGCCAGCGAGCCATCGGTGATCATTGATATTTAAATTCAAATACAGTGGTCACTCAGAACTGCCTGAACGGACCTCGACTGCTTCCCACAAGGTAACTCATAGCCCGGTAACATTTTACCATTAATAGTCTATGAAACGATTAGATAATGGGCTACACCCAAGTACGGACCCAGTTGGACTACTAAACCTACAGTCTCCCCCCCCCCCCCCCCACCCCTGTGGAGGCTGCCTACTATAATAGCCATAAAAATATTAATTTTATCTCACTAACCATCCTTGAGACCGGCATAATATATGCCCTAAGGTTTATTTAATCGAAGTTACTTGTGCTATGCAGGACCTCACGCCAGCGAGCCATCGGTGACCATTGATATTTAAATTCAAATACAGTGATCACTCAGAACTGCCTGAACGGACCTCGACTGCATCGCACACGTTAACTCATAGCCCAGTAACATTTTACCATTAGTCTATGAAACGATTAGATAATGGGCTATATTTTATTTAACACCCAAGTACCGACCCAGTTGGACTCCTCAACCTACAGTCTCCCCCCCCCCCCCCCACCCCTGCGGAGGCTGCCTACTATAATAGCCATAAAAATATTAATTTTATTTCACTAACCATCCTTGGGACCGGCATAATATATGCCCTAAGGTTTATTTAATCGAAGTTACTTGTGCTATGCAGGACCTCACGCCAGCGAGCCATCGGTGATCATTGATATTTAAATTCAAATACAGTGGTCACTCAGAACTGCCTGAACGGACCTCGACTTCATCGCACACGTTAACTCATAGCCCAGTAAAATTTTACCATTAATAGTCTATGAAACGATTAGATAATGGGCTATATTTTATTTAACACCCAAGTACCGACCCAGTTGGACTCCTAGGCCTACAGTCTCCCCCTCCCCCCCCCCACCCCTGCGGAGGCTGCCTACTATAATAGCCATAAAAATATTAATTTTATCTCACTAATCATCATTGGGACCGGCATAATATATGCCCTAAGGTTTATTTAATCGAAGTTACTTGTGCTATGCAGGACCTCACGCCAGCGAGCCATCGGTGACCATTGATATTTAAATTCAAATACAGTGGTCACTCAGAACTGCCTGAACGGACCTCGACTTCATCGCACACGTTAACTCATAGCCCAGTAACATTTTACCATTAATAGTCTATGAAACGATTAGATAATGGGCTATATTTTATTTAACACCCAAGTAGGCTACGGACCCAGTTGGACTCCTCAACATACAGTCTCCTCCCCCCCCCCCCCCACCCCTGCGGAGGCTGCCTACTATAGTAGCCATAAAATTATTAATTAATAATAATTAATTAATTAACTCATAGCCCAGTAACATTTTACCATTAATAGTCTATGAAACGATTAGATAATGGGCTATATTTTATTTAACACCCACTATAGTAGCCATAAAATTATTAATTTTATATATTTTATTTAACACAGAAGTGCGGACGTATTTGTGGCAAATTATTCAGAGCACTCGCATATTCACATCACTTTTCCCTGACCGTCCGCGCCCGCGGAGAGATCATAGCCCTTTCCATACAATTTAAACTTTGGTTTCAAGCGAGACCCACCGATCCATTCCAGGGTCTTTTTTTCCCACCATGATGGCCGAGACCCTGGATCAACCACAACTGGCGTCTCTGGAGAAATTACTAAGTTTCCGCCCCCGGACGCTGGCGGGTTGCTTAGCGACCAGATGACAATTGGGTTTCATTATGTGTGAAATGAGTCAGCTGAGCCGCAAGCTGCTCTGTGAGCTTGTCGACTTTGTCCTCTGTTAATAATTAAATTACCAGAAAAATGGCCCGTTGAGGAAGGATACAACGGGCGCTAGGTTGATAGTACTGTCTATTTTCTCTAAACTAAAACCAAAACAAAATCACCACCTAAATTTAATTTAACCGGAAACGAAAAATGTCATTGAAAACGGATTTTTATCCAGTATGGGTACTTTAATTTATACAAAATATAGTCATAGGCATAACCCTAAACCATGCACCTAATCGCATTCATGACAAATTTTACCTTTTTAACTATTTGTGACTACTGAATTTGACCGTCCCAGTTATTTGCGACATTGTACAAAATAAATTCAATTAGCGAATTAGTCATTTTTAAAATTTAAAACTAATTTCGCTAGCATTAATGATACCCAAAGTTTAAAAAATATTAAAATAATATTTTAATTTTAAGACTAAAAATAGATTAAGCCAACCGGACGTTGGAAAAAAACATTAGTGCTAATAATATACTTCTGCATATGTCAGATTGAACTCTTATTTATATTCACAAAATTAATGCAGATACTAAATTTTAAATAGATTTAACAACACCGATAGTAAAAAAAATGTTTTTGTTAATTTTATTTTTAAGATCTATAGTCTTTTTGTGTTAAATGTCTTCGCTATAAAATTATGCAATTATTTGTGTATAAATGGCAGCGAACATAGTTATTATTATATGTAAAAATCTGGCAATGTTGATGATCACAAGATTTCAACTTCCGTGAGTCTTGTGAGCTCAGGAAGAACTTGGAAAGACATAGTGAAGCCAACGGGCACCTTGAATTTCTACAGTTCTGTTACTTTAATACATTCTTGAAAAAAAAATGGCTGGAATGAGTGATGCAGAAGTCCAGGGGCAGGTATGAAGAAATGTATTATCTGTGAAATGTATTTTTTTTACAAAAATTTGTAGCGACCTGAATAGTGCTCTGCCAAGCTAAGCAGACTGCTCAGCTGTCAGTGTCACCATTGAAGTGTAATTTCTTAGTGTATCCCATAGTCTAGTCCCCTACTCTACAGCCTACTCTAGGCTACTAGATCTAGTCTAGGCTCCAAACTTGACTTACGATAATAATCTAGATTATGTTGAATTCCTGTTTCAGTAAAGTTGAGTAAAGGATAGGTTGAATTATGGATTTTTTAAAATAAAATATTCTGTTATTTCAAATACACTATTAACTTCCTTACCCCTTAAGAGAACATTTGACACCTCATTTAAATATCTAGCTTACTCGGTTGACGAGAAAATAGAGAATTTGAAAATTAATCAAAAATGGAAAATGAATGACAAAACAGCATTCTTGGCCCTCGACCGGCATAACATGACGTCGTGGACTTGTGTGCACGAGCTTTTAATTCCCGCCATGGTAATTGCGTCAGCTTAGGTAATTTACTCACCGGAAAATAACAAAAAGCAACTCGTTGATAATAAAACTAGATCTAGTTATTTTATTATTTATTAAATTCTACTCCACATGATATTCATACCATTTTATGAAGTAATGAACACCTGCATAAATCAAATGACCATAATAAATATTTTTATTTCAAATTCTAATTTTAAATAATAAATATGCTTAAAATAATATGATAGTAATAGTTATGATAGTTTATAAATACAAATACATTTTACACTCATTTCACATTGTATTGAGTCAACAGCGTGGCAGCTGAGGTTCATACATGGTATTAGTGTCTTTTTTTTTTTTCATCTTGAAAACATGACGTATGTGATTATTTTTTTAACATAAAATCCTCCAAACATCGTCACTCGCGTGATTGCTTGCTTACGTTTACTATCCTGTGGATGAAAAATCCCACCACGGTCGCGGGGTCACCGTGACCTATAGTACACGTCATAGAATGAACACGCGTACACGAGATGGTCGGTGTCTTCACTTCTCTCTCTCCCCCCCCCCCCTTCTTCAAGCAAATTGAATAACAGACCTACTTCCCTACTTCTGGTCATTTTTTTTTTTTAAGTTCGGTCATTTTTTTTTTTAAAGTTCACATATCAGGCATGCTAGACAGCCAGCTGTATAAAAAAAAAATTTAACTAGATCTACGTCTAGCTTAAAAAAATAAATAAATAAACGCTTAAAATGACCGTAAACAGATTATTTAGCGCCAAAAAAAAAAGGCAGCTGAACGAGCATTTTTTAAAAATACGCAGCAATGAAAAGGGCTAACGGCCGATCAATTAAGTCTAAAAATCGCCCGTAATTAGGCCTAGCTCTGAAAAAGGCCACTGAACGAGCATCACTGATTATATAAACGAATAGGCCACGCAGCGTTGACGAGGTTAACCACCGGTCACGAATGCAGCAACTGTCGGCCCACAGTGAAGAAAAAATCAATATACTAATAAAATTACTAATACAACAATAATGTCCATAATTTTACTTTTTCCACACATGCTACAATTGAATTATAATTAAAATACTAGACTTAACAGTTCATTCCGTAAAAAACTAAAACTAGTTGTTTCAGTCTGGCAACTAGCGTAGCAATGACGTCATGATACTAAAAATAGCGGATAGAAATGTCAGCGTGGGTACCTCATTTTGGGATAAGATTTTGGAAACCAGAATCAATAATAATGTAAATATACAAGGTAAATATCTCAATTATATATTAATTTAGAGGAGGTCGGGCCGTTTTCCCCGGAGGTCAGTCGTTTTTAGCGGCGGTTCAGTTTTTACGGAGAGCGCTCCACTAGAAATCCTCTCATTATTTACAACAACAAATCTTTCGATTTTTTCTGGCATTCTAAGGCATATTATCCATTTTATTAGCATTCTGCATTAAAATAATGATGAGAATTTGCGAGATTAACAGTTTTTTCATTTGTCGTGGATAGGACCCCTAAAATAAACGTAAAAACCGTCTAAAAACGACGCGTGACGTTTCAGGGTCAGAGGTCAATCCAGCCATCTAAGCAACGCGCCAGACTAGTAACAGTTTTCCCCGGAGGTCAGTCGTTTTTAGCGGCGGTTCAGTTTTTACGGAGAGCGCTCCACTAGAAATCCTCTCATTATTTACAACAACAAATCTTTCGATTTTTTTCTGGCATTCTAAGGCATATTATCCATTTTATTAGCATTCTGCATTAAAATAATGATGAGAATTTGCGAGATTAACAGTTTTTTCATTTGTCGTGGATAGGACCCCTAAAATAAACGTAAAAACCGTCTAAAAACGACGCGTGACGTTTCAGGGTCAGAGGTCAATCCAGCCATCTAAGCAACGCGCCAGACTAGTAAAGGAAGATAATTTACACATTTTTTAGTAAAATTTTACTGACTACTCCGAAAAAGTTTTGCCTCAGTTCTCCATCTGGTCGACTGATGTGCATGCACAGTGACCTTTATAGCTGCGCAAAGGTTACAGTTAGGGTTCTGTGGTTTGTTTATAAACACACATGCACAATTTCACAGTACCATCGAAAACATCGCTGCCAATGGAGTAGTTTCTCTCAATTGCAAATGCATATCTTTTTCCGGCTAGAATCTGCCTAAATTTTATTAATGGCAATGGGAAATGTGTTATTTTAATGTCGCGGCTGTGGTTACAGTATTTTACTTGCAATTTGTTTTTGGTTGCATGTCTTTGATTACCAGTTGGAATACCATGTTTGGGCCTGCTACCTATTATTAAAACATCCTGCTACAAAATTGTAACTACCTTGGGAAAGAAGCTGAGGCATTTTGTGTTATCAAAATTCTCATTACGCCTAATATTTTTGTGACTAATCACTATGTTGTCTTTTCGTTTTAGATTGCCCATATGATCGCTTTTATTGACCAGGAAGCCTCTGAGAAAGTTGAAGAAATTGATGCAAAGGTATTATTTTTGTTTATAGGTGTGATATTATTAAGTGAGAAAATATTTATTTACAAAGGTTTTGTAGGCCTTGATTGAATTAATTTGCTTTGAATTTGAGTATTGAATGTTTACTGCCAATTTCTTTTTCTTTGCTATTTTAAAATTGTGTATTACAGGCTGAGGAGGAGTTTAATTTGGAGAAAGGTCGATTAGTACAGACTGCTAGGGCTAAAATTATGGATTTCTATGATAAGAAAATTAAACAAGTTGAACTCCAGAAAAAAATGTAACTAAAACATTCTTCATTTTTGTTAACATTTGGTTTTGGTTTCTTTTAGTTTTGATATTTCTCTCCCATTGCCTTTATGTCAGACATCTGCGTAGTCTACTTGTCACTTTATCACTTCTTTATTCCAGTCAGCAGTCTAATCTTCTTAACAATTCACGTCTTCAAATTCTGAAGAGAAAGGAGGAGCTGCTCAATGTAAGTGTGGGCCCCATTTATTTTAGTGTTAAAAGCTGGTCTATACTAGACCATGTGTTAAAGCCGCCCTGTACAAACCACGCATGCAGACAGTACCCCCATTTTCAGAATTGATCCTCAAAATTACAAACATTACATATCTTGTTCAGCTTAATCGACAGAAGATGAGTGGACAGGAGCAATTTTAAAATAGCATTTATCAAAATGAATATTTAGTGGGGGATGGTGGTTATTTCCTTCAGGATTTTGTTTCGGCTTCTTTTTGTGCTTACAATATGTTAATGTGGAAGGTTTGCTGCTGAGGTTGGCTTTAAAAATGATCGCAATTTTAAGAAACTTTCATTTAAAGAACAGGAAGAAGTTTTTAAATGTTCTTTTTGTCATTTGTAATTGGAAATTATACATTCAACATTATGTAGGAAAGTATAATCACTAACTGAAAATAACTTTTGTTCATTAACATTTAGTCTACTGCTGGTCTAGTGTATACTAATCCAGTACCTTGTGAGCATGGGAAAGCAAAGAATCCTTGGTAGTTTAAGTTTGTTGTAGCACAGACTGTTAAAGGGAACACAGTAATCTTGTTACAGCTAAAGTTATGCTTGTACTAATATGTATTTTTATTCTGGGTGGAACATGATTTTTTTTTAAAAAAAAGTAAATTCAGCAGTTTTTAGATGAAAGCGGATACCAGCCATATTTAACTATAAACTATAACGTTTTTTTACCTGGCTATAGGATCTTCTGGATGACGCCAGGAAGCTGGCTACCAAGACAGTGAATGAAGACCCACAGAAGTACCAGGAGACCATGATTAAACTGACACTTCAGGTTGGATTATATTTTTAAAAGTTTTTCTCAAAGCTATTGTTTTGTGTGTATAACTTTGTATTCATAAATATTCAAAAATAAATTTCAGGGTCTTTCTGCTCTGCTGGAACCTAAAGTTACTGTTCAAGTTCGTCCCCAGGATGTTGATTTAATGAAGGTATGGTCCTCTTGTCTGTAGATATTTGGTTCTGTTAATCTTTTTTTCGTAATATGTTTTTATTAACATCTAACCAGTTGGAGCTTAGATGAAATATAATGAAATAAAATGTCAGTTTATCATATTTTTGTAGTGGTCCACCTTGCATTTAATTAGATAATGGATTAAAGACCTATGAATTCCAGTGTTAAAAGAGCATTGTTATAAGTTTGATTTATTTTGTCTTTTAGAAAATCATTCCAGAAGTTATAACAAGATATAGAAAGCTGACTCAGGATAAACACGATGTCAAGATTATTGTTGATGATCAAAATTTCCTTGCTCCAGAGATGTAAGTAACTTTAGTGCAAACTTAAAAGCTTTTTTATTTTTTAGGTAACCAACTTTGTATGCATGTTTTTTTATTACAAAACAAACTATAGTCAATCTGCCTCATGTTTTTTTATAGTATTGGTGGAGTTATTGTCTCAGCTCATGGTGACAAGATCAGAATTAACAACACAATGAATGAAAGGTTGAAGCTTATATCACGACAGGTGAATTATCTTGTATTTGTTTGTTATATATCTCCCTCTATTTTACATACATGTCTCTCGCTGTGACTACTGTATCTACTTTGTCACATGTAAATTTTTTTTTCTTTTAGTATTTCTGAAGAAGCTGTTCATCTGTTATATTTATTTAAAAATATTTTGCTTTTAGTATTAGCATTTCTTTAATGTGTTATCTCCTTTCTTACTTTTTCTAGATGCAACCAGAACTCAGAGAGACATTATTTGGACCTAACCCCAACCGTAAATTCAAGGATTAAACTGCCGGCCAGAGTTAGATTTTATGTAACAGTTCAGACCATTTTAGCTTAGGAGAACCTGAGAATCATTGCTTGTGCTCTACTGTAAACATTGTATCAGTTGCTCAAGCAATTTTTTTCAGAGAAACATTCCATAGTTTAGTCATTTTTTATCATGAGTCAAATGTAATCCAGTCAGCTAAAATATAATTATTGGGGAGACAGATTTCACCTTGTTTGAATCAAAACTTTTTGTCTGTATGTTTTATTGTAAGTAGAGCTTATCTCCTAGTGTGGAGGGTGTCCATGACATTAAGTCCTAGAGGTTATTGTAAGTAGCAGAGCTCATAAAATTTATTTGGGTTGAATGTCTACATTTTTTGTTCATGGTTTGGTTGGTTATAGTGTGGATAGATCAGTGTGAGATGAAAGCATTGATTGGTGTCTGGTCTTTTGAGTTACGGCTAAGCTAGAACAACTTGGATCTGGTTCTGACATGTATTAAAGCTTCTCCTTATGATTTTAACCTTGTAACAACTTGGGTGGTCCTTGGCATACCCAGTTCTTGATTACCTGGTGATAATCATATTGGCAACCTGTCTAAATATCATTATGCAAGGCTTTTTTTTTTTCATTCTGTACAAAATGGATGGTGTATTAAAAGTGCATTTTAGCAGCACTGTATGTAAAAATGGTATCTGTAAAGATTTTTTGTTTTGTTTACCTCACTGTATATTGTACCACAGATGACATTTAATCAATAGCACTCCAATAACTGCTGGTGTAGAGAATGTAGCCCTTACATTCAACACCCCACCCTCATCATTCATGGCTGTGATCATTCAACAATTAGAGCAAACTTGTAACCCAGTGGTGTGTGTCCATGTTCTGTAGTAGTCAGGGTAAGATAATCTAGAGTTGTAGCTGTACAGCCTATGGTGTTTGTTTTTTTTTGGGACTGTTTCTTGCATATGGTGTTTAGACTGCACAATTATTGTACAACCTTCATGTTAGTCAGGAGTATTTTTTTTAAAATCATTTATCATGGCATTGATTTCTTCCATTTGGTGATTGAATGTATTTTTGGATTCTTATGATTGTTTGTGTGATTGTACTGGACAGATTGCTGGACCAAGACCTGTCATTTAAGTCCTTCATTCTGTACTTTGTTTACCTGTTAATATTTATTTAGCTCATTACCTTTATCATTTTATCATATATTAAATATCAATAAACCAGAAGTTTTACCTGTTGGGTGAATTTTTTGCTGATTACAGTTTTTTCTAGTGTGGTTTTTATTCTTGTGTTTAAATATTGTTTGTAGAACTGCATTTATAGGTTTGGTTGAGTACTGCTTCTGTAGCATTTGGAAAAAAAAACCTACATTAGTTATGCTATGTCACAAATGTTGATGAAGGAAAATATTGGGGTGGGTTAATAGAGCTTAAAAATGTTGACAGCAGATCATGTCTGTATCGGAGGAGATGAAATCGGAAGCGAGGGGCTTTTTATTATTTTAAGAAGGAATAGTCATTTCTTTGGTGGTGTTGTCTAGAGCCTCTGCCACTAATGGAATTTTATGGTCAGGTATTGTACTTCACACTGAGTTGTAGCCTTAACTAAAGATTATAATTGTTCATTCAAGAAAAACACATCAAATTTAGGATATGAATGAATCATTTTCTTGTGGCATAAAAATACATAATGATAAATAATTAATTTTTTTCAAATTTACCATTTAAGCAAAAGTTTGTAATACTTCTCGTAACATTCAAACACTAGTTATAATCATGTATTGTTTGCTTCCGGTTTGAGAGTTATTTTAGAACAGTTGGAGACACCAATGATAACTTCAATGTATTCTCCAGTCAAGAGGTTATTTTGGCGTCATCTTCTTTTCAATTGATCGATGGGAAAGGGGGTGGAATTCCTTTACAGAAATCACAAATTGTTAGAATAATCCATAGAGATCAGGGTTGGAACATCGTCCAGTTGGTTCTTCAGTTTTTCCCCCGCTAAAGGCTGTTCATTGAGTGTTGACCTGAAACTCAACTTGGCGCCTTTCTTGGCAAGTTTCAAACCGTTTCTTGGTGAGCCGTTGACGTTCGGCCTTCTATTTTTACCCCCAGCGTCCTTGGAATGCAGGTCAAGGTCACTGGGACCCGGATGTCGTCTGGCGTCAGCCAGCTGCTTCTTCTCGGAGACAAGGTGAAGCTGTGTAGTGCTTCCGGTGTGAAGTGCAGATTGGTGCACGCTGTGTTTGGGTTTGTCAACAGCCGGCGGGTTGTTTTGTGGGTTGGCAGGGTTGGGTTTAGCTGGTTCGTGTCTGCCGACATCCGACGCTTCCCGAGACACCGGTGCATCAACCACCCCGCCCCATATCCGTGGCAGGAACAGGTGAATCTGGGTCAGGCTTTGTTTTTTCCCGTTGGGTTTTTGAACTTCAACCAATGGCAGCGCTTCCTTGTCCAATGAAAATTGGGGATTCTCTTCGGTAGGCGAGGGCCGATTGGCCTCAGTAGTGGTTAATTTGATAGGCTGGTGTAAGTCTAGAGTGGAGATTTTAGCCATTGTTTTTTTCTCTACGGATTTCAGTTTTTCTGGAATCTCATTACTGATTTTCGAAAGTATTTTCTCTGAATCTTTTTGATTTAAACGTTTAGACCCATTTTCTTCGGAAGATGAAAGACTATGAGCCAAGCTATGTTTCTGTTGAAATTGTTTACTTTTTTCTTTAAACTTTGATCGGTCGGTTAAAACAGTGCTCTTAGTTTTTGCGGCTATAGATGTTTCTGACCGTACCTGAAGCCCTTGGAAACCAGACGCCTCTATAAACTTGCTCAAGTCGTTGCTAGGGTAAAGTGCATCCGGGTACGAAAAACGAGGTTTGTTAGCTAAAGGAGGCTCGTTGAGCAGCTGAGAGGCCGCGAGCAGACGCTTGAAGGTTGGGGACTGACTTCTAGGATGGTAGCCGTGCTTTGATGGGGTTAAAGTCCTGGATGATTTTTGAAAACCCGAGTCTTTTCGTTGGTGTATTCTAGACGCCATATCGCTAGAGTTTTTTCCCTTGTCTGAACTATCATTAACTAAAGGGACACAACTTGACGGTTTATCATTCTTGAAACCTGGCTCAACCCTGTTGACAGAACCGCTTAAAAATGAATCAACCCTAAAACGATGAAACAAAATGTCAGAGTTCAGCTGGTTAGATGTTGTGTCACTACGATGGGATCCCGGCGTGTAGGAGTAACTACGGTAAAACTCGTCTCTTAACTCACTTGTCAGCCCGGTACGGGTAGGTCGACATGTCTTTATAGCAGAGCTCCAACGCCATTGTCTTTCCCCGGCTGTGACATCCGGTTGCTTCTTCTGAGCCTCCGCGCCGGAGCGAATGATAAACGGCGGTGCGGACTGCAGCAAGAGAGAAGGGGGGTCCGCAGCTAAGACAAAGTTTGGCTTGACGATGCGGTAGAAAACTGCTTTGGTGTGTCTGGGCTGGGTATAGGGGTTGTTTTTTAAGGCTGGTATTCTGTTCACTGATGGCGTGTTTGGCTTAGTAAGTTCCGCGTTTTCTTTCTTTGGCGTTTTGTTTACCGCTGGTGTGTTTGGCTTGGTAAGTTCCTGGTTTTCTTTCTTTGGCGTTTTAAGTCTGGCATTGGTAGCCTGGTCAGGTGAAGAGTGTGCAGATGGTCGCGAGTCGACATCTGCGACCGTTCTCTCTAGACTTGAGCTTTGCTCGTCTTCGGTGTGACGCAGAGAGTAGTCTTTGTCGTTCTCAAGACTACTGACGTCTTTGCTGTCTCTCTCAAGACAGCCACTGTCTTTGCTGTCTATCTCGTGGAAACTGTTGTCTCTGCTTTGTCTCACATGACTGTCGACTTTTATGCCTGTTTGATAAAAGTTGGTGTCTTTGGGCAACCTAAAAATACAAGTAATTATAAGTTAAAAATAACTTCTTTTATTTCAAATTAATATCAGGTTTTAATAAATTGTTTACAAAGTAAAATAATGTATAGATATAGTTAACTGAATCAGACACAAATTTAGCGAGGTTTTAATGGATTGTATTTAGTTCTTGTCTTTAGCTTAAATTGACTACTGATGGTGATTTCCTGCAACACCTTTTGACACCTTGCAAAAGACGTCACGGGTCAGTCAGTATGTAAACATCCGCCATTGTGGTGTACCTGATATACGTTCTAAATGGTGATCTGCGCTGAGTTGTACTACTCTTGGTGGAATTTATAAAAGAAATTTCTTTGTTTCAACTTAATAAAAGTTATAATAAACCAATGTGGGAGAGAGATGGAAAGTGGCCATTAGGTATGTGTTAAGACCTATGTTTGGGGGGGGGGGGGTGGAAAGTGCCCACCAGGTATGCGCTAAGACGTAAGACCAATATTATGGGTGGGGGGGGGGGGGTGGAAAGTACACGCAGGGTATGCGATAAGATCTAAGACCAATATTGTGAGGAGGTGGTGGAAAGTGCCCATCAGCTAAGACCAATGTTTTAAGAAGGGTGACTCTGGACGATTGTAACAAAATACGTCTAGATCTATATTTGAGAGATGTGGTGTAGGGGAAGGGAGAGGACAGGCTACCATGTACAGTCGCATCCATGCTGGACGTCACGAAGAGAAGCTGCCAGCACACGCCAACCTAAACATGCACAAAGTAAGTCACACAATGTGTTCCGTGACATTGTGTGTTGGTCAACCATTTTAAAAATGTAAAAAAAAACAACAGAAAACACTTGAATCCTTGTTAATGTGGTGCTCTAGAGTGATTTTAGACGATATCGATTTGTCAAGGGCTGATTCTTTCCTAGCTGAAAACTGTTTTGTTTTTTCTCGTCATGTTGATTTCCACCTGAATCTGTCGGAGAGACGGACCGACAATGTGGAGAGACGACCGACAGATTTAGGAGAAACGACCGACCGATTCTGGAGAAAACACCGACAGATTTGGGAGAAACGACCAACCGATTCTGGGGAAAACACCGACAGATTTAGGAGAAACGACCGACCGATTCTGGAGAAAACACCGACAGATTTGGGAGAAACGACCAACCGATTCTGGAGAAAACTCCGACAGATTTGGGAGAAACGACCAACCGATTCTGAGGAAAACACCGACAGATTTAGGAGAAACGACCGACAGATTCTGGGGAAAACACCGACAGATTTAGCAGAAACGACCGACCGATTCTAGGGAAAACACCGACAGATTTAGGAGAAACGACCGACCGATTCTGGAGAAAAAACGACCGACAGATTCTGCGGAAAAGGCCGAAACAGTCTGGGGTAAGGACCGACAGAATTTGAAGAGTATCGAACCATCAGAACAATTTCGTTCTAGATTTTTTAAACGACCTCAAAAACTAATTACAAGAATCGGCTCTAAAGCGTTAGCCAGGATATTGATTTAGATTACAGGAACAAGGCTTTCGGGTTTGTTTTTTTTTATTTTTTTTTTTGTAAAAGACAAAGTAGGTATTTATTTTTAAACCCAATTCAGTTGTCTTACAGGGAATGATAAATTATTATTCCGTTATAAATCATTAACTAGAAAAAACCTAAACTAAATCTGAAATAAAGTTTAGTAGGCTCCTTATCCTAACATTTTAAAACATGAATGGTAGTTGGTAGCCTAGTATATTCGAAGAAAATGTCTAAACACATTAAAGTCAACACAGGTTTTTGTAGAATTCTACAGCTCTTATTTAAAGTCCTTTCATCAATAATTAGAAACGGATACATTTACGCAGCTTGTTTATACGGCTACCGTCTGATTTAGTGTGTTTGAGGGTTAGAGCGCACGATTGCCAATTTAAAAGTATCGAGTTCGATTCACTAACACATCTCTCAGTTCCCCGACATCTGATGGGTACCTAACTTAAGTCTGGAATCTAAAGACTGCTGGAAATGGTGCCGAGGTCAGATAAACAAATGTCCAGTGTGATCTGAAAGTGTAGTTTTTTGAACGTCTGATTAAACGGAGTATATTTGTTTTACGCGAGCTTTTTAATTAACGAAAACTTAAGTATGCACCGTTCTATACTATACTTATTTATTTTGTAAACAGGCATGTCCCTTCAGAAAATGTCTAAACATAACAATAACATTATGTGGTAAATTATTATTAACGTTTTTTTTTTACACATTTACCTGTTTGATGAGACAAATTCTTAGAGCTATGAGTATTCATGACATGGAAATTAATTTTAAATCACTACATTATATATATATATATATATATATATATATATATATATATATATATATATATATATATATATATATATATATATATACTAGGCATACTGCCTAGCTTCGCTTAGGTTTTTAAATAACATTTGAGAATTTGAATACTTAATTATTTAGCGATGGATTGGGTGTTGAGTGCTTTAATTTAAACAGTAATGCTAACTTTAGAAAAAAAATGTTTTTGTTTGTAGTTTAAATACAAATCTCGGAGATATATTGGAAAGTACGCAATGTATAAATAAAATGGAATTAGAACTACACAGGTTCCATGAACAGTACATCTCATAGTTTATATTACATTGCCTTTTGAAATTTATTTATTTATTTAATTGGGATACGTAACTAAATTAACAACTTAATTTTGTACTAAAACAAATGCTATACTTCGTCATTTTCTGTTTCTGTTTAAAATAGTATACAATTATTTGAAAAATAATAATTTAAAAAACGTTACCTCCCTTGAAAACTGAACGTATGACGTATGTCTTTGTTTTTTTACAAGCTTTTATTTAACTCACTTCCTCTGTCTGTCGTAAGTCTGTCTAGACGGAAACGCAGGAGTGAAAATTCGGAAACTTCTACTTGACCGATACGATTCACACTTGGCACGTGGGTCAAGACATGAAGACAATGCAATCTGAAACTAAATTTGACTTAATTGGATGCCTAATTGATTTTTAATGAATTAATTAAAATTTGGACCGAATTAGTAGGCATATCTAGCCAACCACACCACACGCGTCATCACCTTCAATAGCTGCGCCATCACGTAATGGCTGCGTTCAAAAACCATTGCGCGCCTACTGAACGTGATGTTCAGTAGGCGCGCAATGGTTTTTAGTCATGTAACTCTGTTGTAAATAAAACATGTAAAGTACTGAAAAAAAAAATTCATAAAAAACGTTTTAATAACAAGCTTTTATGTAATAATGCACTAAAAAGTAGAAAATAAATTATAGACTACTATTTAAATAACTATAAAGAAAAGCGTGGGTGTCTTCCTTAACATTAGTAAAGGTATCCAATAGATACTAAAGTGACCCACGCTTTTCTTTATAGTTATTTAAATAGTAGTCTATAATTTATTTTCTACTTTTTAGTGCATTATTACATAAAAGCTTGTTATTAAAACGTTTTTTATGAATTTTTTTTTTTTTTACAAATAGTTGCTATGCTTATATAAGAAATTGCGGTATATGAACATATTTAACAACTATAATGGCTCTTTCCGACGGGAATAAAGTTTTTTTTTGTTAGCCTCCAGGGTCGGTCTACGACGTAACATAATATTAAGGGGATCGTTCTTCGATTTCTTTATATATATATCTCATATAAGGAGAATTTCACTCAAGATCATCTTTTAGCCCTCGTCGAGGGCTTTGAGTCTGACCAACAGTTTTTCCATACGGCCTAGTCATCTATAGTAGTGTATGCAAAAAATTAGCCAGATATACTGAGCTTAAGTACCCTAAAGTCTGCGTTGAAATGACCCTCTGTTTTTCCCATAAAATACAAAGATTATATAGGGAAATACAACTGGTCAGTTTTGACCGCTTTACAAAGTTTTCCCAGATATGCCGAGTTTTTTGTGACACCCCTAGGTGTTCTTCTACCACCTCACAAAATATCAAGGGGGGTCGTCGGAGGAAATTTTTTTTCGTAATAGAGCTCATATAAAGAGAATTTCACTCGCGGTCTTTTTTTAGCCCTCGTCGAGGGCTTTGAGTGTAACCGACAGTTTTCCCTAAAGGTCAAGCCATTGACCTAGGAGCGTGCAAAAAATTAGCCAGATATAAAGAGCTTAAGTACCCTAAAGTCTGCGTTGAAATGACCCTCTGTTTTTCCCATAAAATACAAAGATTATATAGGGAAATACAACTGGTCAGTTTTGACCCCTTTACGAAGTTTTCCCAGATATGCCGAGTTTTTTGTGACACCCCAATGTGTTCTCCTACCACCTCACAAAATTTCAAGGGGGGTCGTCGGAGGAATTTTTTTTCGTAATAGAGCTCATATAAAGAGAATTTCACTCGCGGTCACTTTTTAGCCCTCGTCGAGGGCTTTGAGTGTTACCGACAGATTTCCCTAAAGGTCAAGCCATTTACCTATGAGCATGCAAAAACTGAGCCAGATGTAAAGAGGGTAAGTGCCATAAAATCCGTTTTGAAATGACCCTCTGTTTTTCCCATAAAATACAAAGATTATATAGGGAAATACGACTGGTCAGTTTTGACCCATTTCCCGATTTTTCCCGGACATGGCGAGTTTTTTGTGACACCCCAAGGCGTTCTCCTACCACCTCACAAAATATCAAGGGGGGTCGTCGGAGGAATTTTTTTTTCGTAATAGAGCTTATATAAAGAGAATTTCACTCGCGGTCACTTTTTAGCCCTCGTCGAGGGCTTTGAGTGTAACCGACAGTTTTCCCTAAAGGTCAATCCATTGACCTAGGAGCATGCACAAAATTAGCCAGATATACTGAGCTTAAGTATCCTAAAGTCTGCGTTGAAATGACCCTCTGTTTTTCCCATAAAATACAAAGATTATATAGGGAAATACAACTGGTCAGTTTTGACCCCTTTACGAAGTTTTCCCAGATATGCCGAGTTTTTTGTGACACCCCAAGGTGTTCTCCTACCACCTCACAAAATTT